AGGGGCAACCTTGTGTGGCAGTGCCCGTGGGCAGCTCCGCATCTGCGTCACGTGGTGCGGGGCCGGTGTGTGGTTCCAATGTGTGTGCAGGACAGGCGGGGAGGGGGACAAAGGGGCCATTGTGCCACATTCCCAACTCAAACCCTCCTTTCCGCTGACATCACAGCTGTCCTAAATACAGCCTCCCAGACCTGCTTCCCGAGTCCCTTGCTGCCTGCCCCCGAGCAGTGGCACAGAGCCTGCTGTGCCCAGGGCTGCTCAGTTGACTCATCTTTGTCTTCTCTGTGAGGAGAAGGACCCGTTCTTGTGGCTGATTTTTCAGTGAAATCTACGTGGAAAGTACTAGAAGAGGAAGAGGCTTCCTTTGGATTTCTATGTTTTGCTGCTCTCTCACAGTCCTGGGTCCCTTTTGGGGCCTGGGCCCATCTCCTGGCAGGACTTTCTATCACTGGAAGATGGTGGGCTTCCTTCCTCCTCCCGCCCCAGTATCTCAGCTTTCCTGGTGCCCCCAAGACTTTTCTCAATGGACAGAGCTGGGTGGGTTGAGGAGGGGAGAGTTTGAGAGAGGGCATGCTAGCTGCTGCGTGGGAGCCTTGGTGTGTGGCGGGGCAAGAGAGTTGTGTGTGGATCCATGGAGTGCGGGGCCGCAGGGGAAACAATATGTGCACTGTCAAGGCTGGTGCCCACGTGAGGAGACCCAAGCAATGGCATCTGAGGGAGCCAGGTGAGTGCCTGACATGGGTCTCGTGGGGGTGGCCGTGTGGATGAGAAATGTGACTCACTGTGTCCACCCCTCCCCCGTGAACAAATGCGCCTGTGTTGACAGGGACTCTACTCACACACACGTGTGTGTGTGTATGTGTGTTGGGGGCATCTGTGTGTGATGAGGGCACGCCCCGACACCTACAGCAGTGGAGGTGACTCTGTGTGATCTGTGAGAACACATGGATTGGATGAATTAGGGGGAGCAGAGAGGAGTATGGGAAAAATTAGGAGAGGCTGGTCATGGGAGGATACCACCATCCTGAAATCCCCAAGCTAGCCACAGGCCTGGTGCCGGGAAAGCCTGTGTCTCCTGTCCCCTCCTCTGTGTGTGTCCAGAAGATAAACCAGGTTGGGCTGAAAGCACCTCCATGGACCAGGAGGCAAGGCCCTGGAAGAAAACAGGTCCTTGCCCAGGAGGGTGACAGGTCCTGCCCCACACAGAGACGTCAACGCTGTGCAGATGATGTGCCCGGCAAGGCCAGGGCAGGGGGGAGGTGAGCTTGGTGCTCACTGGTGCTGGACCAAGTGGGATTTTTCTCTGCAAAAGCCAGTGGGAGGAATGGGCACTCAGGGTGCTCAGTGAGAGAAGAGAGGAAGGGGTGGTTGAGAACCATGTGAGGATCCAACAGGGAGGCCGTGTGTCTGAGTTCTGAGTGCATTCATGCCTGGGGCCAACTCCACTTGCATCCCAGGGCTTTGCTGCTGCTCCGGAGAAGGAAAGAGGGTGAGTTCTGGGTCTGAGTCCATCTGGAGTGGAGATAAGGAAAGAGCCATGAAACCAGCTCTGTCCAATAACACCAGTCACATATGTAATTTTTCATTTTCTAGCAGCCATTAAAAACATTTTTTTTAAAGCCAGGTGCTGTGGCACATGCCTGCTGTAGTTTCAGCACAGGAGGCTTAGTCTGGAGGATCACTTGAGCCCAGGAGTTCAAGACCAGCCTGGGCAACATAGCAAGATCCCATCTCAAAAGAATAAATAGATACAGATAAAACTAATGTTGATAATGTATTTTATTTAGCCTAACATAACCGAGAATCAGATTGTTTCATCATTACACTGATGGCACATATCACTTTGGACTGGCTACATTTCAAGGGCTCAGTGGCCACATGCGGCCAGTGGTTATCGTGCCGAACAGGACAGTATCGGGCAACAGGCCCATGCCCAGGACCATGCAGATGAGATGTTGGCCCCCACAGTCATAGGGAGAGACTGAACTTTTCACAAGGCACAGATGGAAATGGGGTGCACTTAGCCTGGACCTTAACGGGCAGGGAGACCCTAGGAACCTCTGGTCTTGGGGCATCGTGCAGATGCCCATGTGTAATAACGTCTCCACTCTTGGGAGCTGCCAGAGTGCCCAGTTCCCACAAACTCTTACAGCCCCAAGGCGATTATGATGAGCATCTTATGAGTAAACTGACTCTCAGTGGGCCACGCCAGCTGTGGCATGGCAGAACTGAGACTCCAGTCCTGCTCGGGACAATAGGGGCTGAGGTCCCCAGGTCCAGCCAAGGGAGAGAAAATATCTGAGTGTCAGGCCACGCATGGAGGGAGGTGGAGGCCAGGCACCAGGCCACGCGGGCAGTGCCATCGTGGGCCTGGAGGAGACGGAGGGTGGAGCAGAGTGTGCAGCCGAGTCTCAGGGTGGAGGCAGGGGCGGGGCAGCGACACTCTTTGTCCTGGGCCTTGGGGGTGGCTGGCGCGACTGCTGGGTGGAGTCTTGCCCGCCAGGAAGGGGCCATTGCCCAGTGAGTCGGGAGTTGCTGAGTGTGTCTGTGCCCGCCCCACATGCTGCCGGGGCCTCTGGGCGCGTGTGCCCAGGCACGGCTCGGTGTCCTCCGCAGGCACGCCATCCTCCCAGCTACTTGTCTGGGCCACTTCCTCTCAGGCCAGCAGCCAGGCTCCCGTGAGCTCCAGGAGCAAGGAGGAAGCCATTGCCAAGACCCCAAGGCAAGGCTGGGAAGCGAGAAGCTGGCCCTGCGCACGCCTGTCCAGGGCCAGCACAGGAAGAAAGTGAAGCAGGCCCAAGGTCAGCCTGGCTGCAGGGGGCGAGCCCTCAGGGGGGCAGGGATCAGGGAGGAGCCACTCCAGGCAGCAGTCTGACCTCCAGTCTGTGCAGATTCTGTGCAGCTCCTGGTTTCCATCAGGAGAAAGGAGGAAATAGAGAATGAGAAGCCAGAGGCTTCCGTTAGTCAAAGAACCCGCTTGGCTAGGGGCAGACACCCAGAAAGCTGGTCATTTGGCCAATGTTTACTGAGCACCTACACTATGCCTGTGCCTCAGTAAATGCTCATGGAACAAACACCTGGTGGATTGATTAACTAACTGATGGGTATGGGATGCTGGGGGTGGGGTGCAGAAGTTTTACAACGGCCTTGCTTGTCCTTGGTTCCCTGAGAGGAAGGGCAGTCCCCACTAAGAATCCTGAGCATGGGTACGGTGGCTTACACCTATACTCCCAGCTACTCGGGAGGGTGAGACAGAAGGATCACTTGAAGCTAGGAGTTCAAGACCAGCCTGAGCAACATAGCGAGAACTCTGAAAGGAAAAATATCTCTGAGCAAACCAGACCTATGTCATACCTTCCTTTGTGTCTTCGCCTCCTTCCTGAGTACCTACTGTGTGCAGGCACCGCAAAGCCGAGGGCAGACAGAGCCCCACATTCTAATGTGGTGAGAGGACTCAGAACAAGTGAATTCAGACAGTGTTCGCCCTCTCAAACATCACCACGGCCATGAAGGGCAGGCTGGGGGCTGTGGGTCTGCAAGGGCATCAGGGAAGGCCTCTCGGAGGAGGTGCCATTGGGCAGTGACCAAGACAGCAGTGAGGGGAAGTCGTGTGGATGTGGGGGTGGCGGCACTCAGCAGAGGAAAACGGACCAACGGACGGGGACAGGGAGGGCGCTTGGCCCTTGGCGGACTTTCTTGAGCTGCCACCTCCAGGAGGGCCGGGCTGGGATGTGGCCTCGTGTCCTTGTCCTCTGCCGTCCCTCCTTTATCTGGGCCCCTCTCAGGCTTAGTGTCGGGTGTGGCCTCACCTGGCAGTGGGAAAATGTGAGACAATGCGGCCAGATGGCAATGACGGCCCAGTAAGCCTCTCTGGTTGGAGTCGCCTGGGAAGAACAAGCTCAGGCCTCTTCACCGCCAGCTGAGCTCTTCGGAGCTAAGCCACGCTGGCTTTGGCGCTCACGCAGGGACAAGCCATGCTGGTGACACTCAGCTCGGCAAGACAATATCCGCTGGAGCTGCCCTGTCTCTGGAGGAGCCCACCAGGAGGGAAGCGCTTGGGCCTAGGGCCTTCAGGTACCTCATTCCAGCCTCTCCCTCGCCTTCTCCGGATCTAGATCAGTTTCTCTCCCAGCAAAGTACCAAGGGACTGTCCCTCCAGGGGATTTTGACAGATGTCAACCAAATCTCCAGGTGAGAGCCGGCATCTCCTGCTTCCAGAGCCCCTCAACCCTCCAAGAAGCAGCAGGGAGGCAGACAGGTCAGGGTCAAATCCAAGCTCTGCTGCCTGCTTGCTCTGTGACATTGGGTAAGGCTCTTCCCTCTCCCTAGGCCTCAGGAGGAGGCCATGATCCAGGAACCCCTTGCTGGCAGGTTCACGCGAGGGCTGCCTGGAGCAAGTCCTTCTCTCTTTCTTCCAGAGGATTTGTGAAAACAGCAAAATGCCAAGAGTCCGAAGGGCAGGCTGGCCGTCCCTGGCTGCCTCCGGGGGCTCCAGAGGACAGAAAGGGAAGTGGAGGCAGTAAGGACTGAGGGGAGGCTGCTGAAGCAAAGCACTGGTCACAACAGGTGAGCAGAGCAGCAGGTGTTTATTTCTTCCAAACACTCTCACCCTGCCCCGCCCCATCCCTTTTTTCTCTTGCTCAGAGCCTGGGTCCAGCTGGGCTGGAGCCGGGATCAGCGGGTGGGATGTGGCCCTGAAGAGAGGAGGTGGCCAGGGCTGGAACTGGAACAGCTGTGGGGAGACAGAGTGGAGGGCTGAGAGGCTCAGACCCGGTTTTCCTGCCTCTCCCACCCTGGTCCTCCAGCCCCGAGTGCTTGGCATTGGTGGGGCAGGGCCCTGGCACTGCCGAGCACACCCCCTGCCACAGCCGCCTCGGAGAGGCAGGCGGGTCTGCGTGCCCTTTTCCCTGACCGCCTCCGGGCCCCACCATTTGTCCCAACCTCCAGACGGAGGCCACCTCGTTCCCAGATACGAGGCTGGCACTGCCCCCCGGGCCCACCTGACCGGGGCGTCAGTGCTGGTCCAGGATGAGGGGCACCTGGGCGCTGTCCACACGGGGAGGCAGCCGCTCGCCCGTGCGCACGTTGAACATGGGCAAGGTGGAGAGTGGCCGGGGCACCTCGCGGCTGGCCGCCATCTGCCGCAGCTCCTCTGCGTTCCCGTGAATGGTGCAGTGGTGAACCATCTGGATGCTGGGGGCACAGGGTGGGGCGCCGTCGGCTCTGGGAGTCAGTGCGCGGGGTGTGGCCTGGCATGACCTTGGAGCCAGCCCACAGTCCTCCCCGCTGGTTATGTGGGGGAGACTCCCACACATGAGGAGAGGGCAGGGAGTAGGTTAGGGTGCCCGCTCAGTGCCCACGGATGGAGGCATGGGCTCTGGGTGCAGACAGCATGGATTCAAAGCTGTGTGTCCCCGGCGGGTAGCTTAACCACTCTGTGCCTCAGTTTTCTTAACTGTAAAAGGAGATTCGTAATACCTAACCCTAGGATTGCAGTGAAGATGAAAAGAGAAATGTGGCTCGGTGTTTAGAACGGTGCCCAGCATGCGGTAAGCAGGGCTCCGCCCTTCAGCAGAACTAACTGGACATGCCCACCGGAAGTCCTTCCTGAGAACTACCTAGTCTCATTTGACTCTCTTCTGGACTTACTTTCTGCTCTCCTGGGGCAAGCTGTGTTTCATTCTGAGGGACAGGGGAACACAGCAGTCAAGCATGAGGACTAGCTTTGAGTTTGACACAGGGTCTCACTGCTTACTGGCTGTGTGACCTTGGGCAAATTACTTAACCTCTCTGTGCCTCAGTTTCCTCAACTGTAATGCAGTTGTTGTATGAATTAAATGAGTTAATTTAGGAAAAGCACTTAGAACATCTCTTGGTTGAGCCTGTAGCAAGTGGGGGCTACTATTATCGGGACACTTCAGTTGCTATTATTATCTTTGGTGTTATTTTATTATTTTTTATTTTTTTAGTTAGAGTCTTACTCCATCACCCAGGCTGGAGTGCAGTGGCACATTCATGGTCACCCCACCATCAACCTGCTGGGATCAGGAGATCTTCCACCTCAGCCTTCCAAGTAGGCGGAACTACAGGCACACTCTACCACAGCCAGCTAATTTTTCCATTTATTGTAGAGACAAGGTCTCGCTAAGTTGTCTAGGCTTTTCTCGAACCCATGAGCTCAGGCAATCCCCTCACCTCAGCCTACCAAAGTGCTGGGATTACAGGCTTGAGCCTCCGTGCCTGGCCGGTGTTATTTTATTATAGCAAGCCCACCAACGAACTTTGCCTCCACTGGAGGACGTTTCGAAGCCCCCTTTACACAAACCCACTCGTATTTGTTGGTCCAGCCTGGTAACATTTTCCTAGACTACCTGGTTGCCAGGTCAGACAAGTAGGAACTTTTTTATAAGCAGTAAGCATTGGGCCAGGCATGGTGACTTACACCTGTAATCCCAGCACTCTGGGAGGCTGAGGCAGGAGGATTGCTTGAGACCAGCCTGGACAACATAGCAAGACCTTGTCTCCACAAAAAATTAAAAAACTAGCCAGCACGGTGTCACACGCCTGTAGTGTCAGTTACTTGGGAGGCCGAGGCGGAAGGATCGCCTGAGCCTTGGAGGTTGAGGCTGTGGTGTGCTGTGATCGTGCCCCTGCACTACAGCCTGGACGAAAGAGTGAGACCCCAACTCAAAAAACTAAATTAAAAAAAGCAAGAAGAACTGATTTCTCAGAGGGCCCCAGGCAGGACTGAAGTGACTCCGCTTGCTGGTCGATTACTGATCAGATGGGGGAAGGGATGTGACCCTCACCCATGCGCAGTTCTCAATTAGTGGACATGGACTCCAGTTAGAGCCTGATAGGTTAGACTACAGAAAAGACTTCCTCGCTTCTCACGGAATGGGCCACACCTCTCCTGCGAGGAATGGAACCGGGCCCTGTCTGGCCAATAGCAAGAAGCAGAGTCCCCATCGGAGGCCAGGGGGCGGTCGAGATGAGCTCTTGAGTCTGGAATTTGGCAAGCTGAGCTGTCCAAAACCCAATTTTCCATTCCCAGGCAAGGGGAGGCTGAGGAGAAAGAGAGTCCGTGTGTGGATGCCAAGGTAGAGACAGAGGCAGATGATGCCCCTCGCCAGGAAGCGCCTCCGTCAGCGGCCCACCCCCTGGCCCAGCCCCACATCTGGCCTCACTGCTGTGGCAACACACAGGTGGAAACCCATGCTGGGGATGTTCTTCTAGAACAAGAGCAGAGGCCGGACCCCGTGGTGCCTTCCCTAAAATCCTTCACATCAGCGCTTGAGCAGGTAGGCATTCCTGCGCACGCATACACACACACACACACACGCATGTGCCTGCATACACACACACACACACACACACACATACACACACGTGATCCAGTTTCACCCAGACCCACCCTGCCACCAGCGCAGGGCCCAGAAAGCACTCTTTCTGCCCCCACATCCCCAGGAGAGGGATGTCGGGGCCTAGAAGACTTTGTGACCGGCGGTATCCAATCTAGGTGGAACACAGACAGCAGGATCACAACACGTGAGTGATCTGAAAAGTGGCAGACTCTGAACAAGCGAAAAGATGGGATTTTGTAGAAATAAACCGACACAAAATCCAAACCAACTAGGGCTAGTACCGCACATGGTAAAACTGGTTATTGGTTTCAAAGTGACGGGAGAAGCAGACCTCTCTGACAACAACGGAGCTACAAAATTGACCAGGAAAGGTGGATGCATGGGAATGTTGGTCACAAGGGAATATGCACCATGGCAGCAGGTGTCATTGACTAAATCTGGCACAGGTCCCCAAAAATGAGGAATAAAACCCTTGTGAAATTTACATTTAAAAAAATCACTGATCTCAATAGGGAAAAATTCTGTAAAATAAAAAATGAAAATAGAAAATAAAATTCTTTTAACTGCTTTGTATAGAAAGTCGCTCAAGGAATTAAATTGACTTAATGTAGATCAAGGAATTGCATCTCTGCCAGGTGCGGTGGTTCACGCCTGTAATCCCACCACTTGGGAGGCCGAGGCGAGAGGATTGCCTGAGCCCAGGGGTTTGAGACCAGCCTGGGCAATTTGATAAGACCTAGTCTCTACAATAAATCAAAAAATTAGCCAGGTGTGGTGGCATGCGCCTATGGTTCCAGCTACTTGGAAGGTTCCAGGATCACCTGAGCCCAGCAGATCGAGGCTATGGTAGCCATGAGTGTGCCACTGAACTTCAGCCTGGGTGACAGAGTGAGATCTGTACTCAAAAAATAAATAAATAGATAAAGAGATTGCATCTCTGTTCACTTTGGAAAACATATTTCTCATAAAAAAAAAATCCATACACTGGGCACAGTGGCTCATGCCTATAATCCTGGTACTTTGGGTGGCCGAGGTGGGAGAATTGCTCGAGCCCAGGAGTTAGAGATCAGCCTGGGCGACATAGCAAGACCTTGTCGTTACAAAAAATAAAAATAAAAAAATTAGCCAGGCAGGGTGGTGCCCGTCTGTAGTCCCAGTTACTCAGGAGGCTATGGAGGGAGGATCACTTGAGCCCAGGAGGTCGAGGTTGCAGTGAGCTGTGATCATGCCACTGCACTCCACCCTTGGTGACAGAGTGAGACCTCGACTCAAAAAAAATGTAGATATGATTCTGATAAATGTAGGAATGATTCTGATGTCTAATGTTTGTATTCCTCAACCCAGTGGTTCAAGATGATGGGGTCAAAATAGTGGGTTTAAAACTGGGGGCTCAGAACACCCTGAGATTGGCTCTGACGTGTGCGTAGACACATGCACAAGCATATACGCACCGTGTGGGTCACCCACCAGGCCCACACAGCCACAGCCCTGCTCTCCAGGACACCTGGCACGTCGTATGCTCTCACCATCTGGCATCTCCACCTGCCCCTCCCATGAGGTCACAATGGGGCCACTGTGACTCCCGCAGGATTCTAGTGGCCTCACAATGTCCCCCTGAGGTCACCACAGAGATAACCTACCACCACCTGCACCCACAGCACAAGTCTGCTGGAGCCAACCGAGGGGTGATCATCCTTGGTCTTCCCTCGGGACACCCAGGGGAAGGTGTGGGCCAGAGCCCTACAAGGAAGCCCCTGAGGCAGCTAGGAACCGGGACGCACCCGCCCCACCCACCGAGGAGCCACCCAGCAGAGAGCTCCAGCCGCCACCCTGGAAGTCCTCACACTCGACTCCCTTCACCTACCCCAGGAAGAGATGCAGAAAGACACCTCACCACTGTCCCCGTTGACACCTTTGGCCTCCAACACCAACATGAGTGAAGGCCAGCAGGCCAGCGGGTCAGGGCTCCCTAGTGAGACTGAGACCAGACGCCACACCTGTTCCAAAGCCCACCGAAAGCCCAGCATAGCCAAGGTGATCCTGGGGGCCGTGGTGGACAAAGGGGCACGCAAGCATGTGTCCCTGGCTGCTCTGAAGAAGGCCGTCGCCGCCAAGGGCTACAACATGGCCCGTACTGCTTGCCACTTCAGGCGGGTGCTCATGAAGCTGGTGGACAAGGGCATGCTCAAGCAGGTGACTGGCAAGGGAGCCTCGGGCTCCTTCTGCCTGGGCAAGAAGCTGGCCTCCAAGTCCAAGCTCAAGGTCAAGCAACGACGGCAGCAGCACCAGCCTGGGCAGCGCGGGTCTCTACTGGGCTCCAAACAGGGGCACAGGCGGCTTTTGAAGGTGGCTCGCAGGGTGACCAAGCGCCGCCGCAATTAAGGAGGCAGCCAGGCAAGCGGTCGGGGCGCCCGGCCCACCACAGGCTCAATGCAGTGGGAATAAAGGAGCCTGACTTATTTCACACCTGCCTCCTGGAGTCTGGGATTCAGGGGTGTGGGACAAGAGGGGGAACTGGGGGCGCTGAGGAGGGGTAAGGCCAGGAGGAGGGAAGATCTGGGGTAAACAAAGAGTGAGATGGGCTCGGGGAGGGCTGGCGGATCTGGAAGTAGGTGTAGGCAAGCCCAACCCCATCCTCTTGCAGGCCAGAAAGGCTGATGGAGACATTGTGAGGCAGGCCTGGCCCCTAGGTGTCTGACTCACTGTGAGGGGTGTGTGTGTGTGTGTGTGTGTGTGTGTGTGTGTGTGTGTGTGTGTGTGTGCGCGCGCGTGCACGCACATGCTGAGAGCCTCTCAGGTTGCTTCCCAAACCCTTTCCCCCAGGGGGACAGCAGGTCCCCCTCCCCATGCCATGATACTCTTCTGTGGAGACCAGCAAAGAAGAAGGCAGGGTCAGGACCACACCAGCCCCAGCACCCACCGGACCCAGGGTGAGGGCTCAGAGGGATGGGCGGTTCATCATCCCAGAGTAATGTTTTGTCTGAGCTGCCCATGAAGTCTGGAGGGGCCAACATGGCTGTCTAGATGGGCTCCCACCCAACCCCAGCTCTCCCCTACTCACTCAGAGGTAGCCAGGTCTCTCTTCAGCCTGTGGAAAAAGGGGGAGAAGGGTTAGTGGAGACTCCGGCGTGTGAAGATCTGTGTGCGATTACCCACAACCACCTCCTGGTCACCAGGCAAGGCAGGTCTCAGCCCTGAGTTGCTTGGATAAGGGCCCTGCACGCCTTTTCTGCCTGAGAACCCCACACCCGGAGGGGTCTCGGTCCCCACTCAGCACAGGGCAACCCCCAGGAGCCCCGTGGATGGAAGCCCCAGCTGGTGCCTCCCCACGGCCCCATCCCCGCACTCACCGTCCCTCCCGCCGGCAGCACATAACGTAGGCTAGCAGCAAGGTGAGCAGCAGGGCCACCAGCAGGGGGACCAGGAGGGTGACCAGGGCATCCGCCAGGAAGTCACGGTCCGGGGCCTCCGTGGGTGGGCAGAAGAATGGGTCGTGCTCCAGGATCCCGTCACCTGGGGTGGACACCTCATCTGCGGGCTCTGGAACCGACTTGTCCACCTGCACAGAGAGCCCAAGGCTGGCCTGGGAGCAGCTGCCTGGTCGCAAGGGCCCCCAGTGACAGGACAGAGGTCCTGGGCCATCCGGCCATCCTGCCCATCTCCTCACACGGCCATAGGGCTTCCCCCCACTTGTCTCCTCCAATCCGTGTGAACTAGCAGGACAAGCCCTGGACAGGAGACAGGAGAGCAGGGCAATACGCTGGTTAGCACACAGCTCCAGGGGCTGACTGCCTGGGTTTGAATCCTGCCTCAGACTGGAACTTAGCTGAGATGACTTATTCTATGTGCCTCAGTTTCCTCACCTGTAGAGTCAGAATACTGTCGCTTGCCTCCTGGCGTGGTGGTGGGGATAACATGTTGATGGGACAGTGCCTAGCACACACCAAGTGCTCAGGGACATTGTCAGTTACCAATCCCTGGCTGTCGACCCCAGTGAGTCCCTGATCTGTCTTCAAGTCACAGGGACAGAGTGCACCCGAGGTGGGACCCTATGCATCGGGGCTCATGTCCCAAAGAGCTGGAGTGGGCATCTCTGGTTATTAGAGAGCCACCAGGTCCTTGCTGCAGGTGAGTTTGCTAGGTGGCACCTTAGAGAGAAGCAGGCAGTGCTGTCTCCAAAAGGTCCCTGGTGAGGAAAGGGCTTGGGAATCACGCTGTGGGCAGTGATTGAATTCGCTATTGGCTTGGGCAGATCTGGGACGCCAGGAGCTAGAGACCCCACATGTGGATTGCAGACTCTGTCGTCCTCTTGTGGGAGAAGGTAGAACTTCAGAGAAAGAGAGGGGGAGAGAGAGAGAGAGAGAGAGAGAGAGAGAGAGAGACAGAGACAGAGACAGAGACATAGACAGAGAGACAGAGACAGAGAGAGAGAGACAGACCACAGTTTAAGACTGAAACCATCGGAGAAAGGTACAGAGACTGAAGAGATCAGAGAGACTGGGGTGGGACGTGGATGGGGAGAGAGGGTGTTGTGAGCGGGCGGGTCCCTCCTCACCAGGGTCACATTGCACCAGTCAACGCGGAAGTGGGGTGCCAAGGTGTCATAGCAGGACAGAAGTGGAGGCTGGCCCTGGGCGCAGCGGGCGTGGCTGTCGGGGGATGCCACCATCTTCAGGCAGGTAGAGAAGGGCGAGGCTGAGCCCACCTTGATGTACACCCTGGACCCAGATAGAAGCTGCTGTCAACAGGGCAGGGGGCAGGGGGTGTGGGCCACCTCCCTGCCAGATGCCGTTGACGCTGACCTGATTATGGGCTATGACCTGGGAGGGGATGGGGGAGGAGGGTCAGGAGGAGGCTTCAGGGGAGAAACATGGTGAAGCTGGGGCTGCAGGAGAGTCATGGGCCCCCCTGAGATCTGAGTGCATAGAGCACCCCACTCTTCTGGGGGACTCATTCCCCCAGGAATGTCCCTTGAGGACAGACTTTCTATGTCTTCATAGGTCACCGGGAAGTCCAGAGTTCAGGGTTTGAGCTCTGGAAGGACAGAGATGAGGGTGGGGGAGCAAGTTGCCAGGAGTGGGTAGACAGTAGTGTGAAGCTGGGAGGTGGAGATGGGCGTGGCAAAGCCCCGCCTGGAAACTAGAGAGACACTTACTCTATGCCCACCATTCAGGCAAAAGGCAAGCTACCTCCTCCTGGTCCAGGGAGCCCTCCTGGGTTGCACACCTACCCTTCTTTGCGGCCCTCAATGGGAAGGGGGACACGGCCCCCGCGGTCCAAGGCGGAAGTGATGTTGAGCAGCTGGAGCTCTCCTGGCTCCCAGAGCCCCCCCAAGGCCATGAGGAAGCGGCTGGCAGGCGTGGAGGGCAGCACCTCCTCCACATCGTGGCTACACACCAGGAACTCGGCTTGGTAGGGCAGCAGGGGGCCTGGGAAGGCCAGGTGGCACCTCAGGCGGCACCTG